TGTGAGTAGATAAATGGGGACTCTCACTCCGGTGGGAGGAAAAATGCTGGCGGCGCCTTGCAAAAAGGAGTCGGGAGCAGTTGCTGGTAGCGTGAAACTGCGCTCGCCTGAAAAAGGCACGAAGCAACAGAAACCCCGCCTCCTGTGCTCGCCAGCTGGGCTCTGCTCTAGGAAGGAGGCACTGGCAAACCACTTCCGAAACACCTTGTTTTGAAAACTGCAAGGACTCGTCCAAAGCAGTCACTGCAGAGTCGGTAACGACTGAGTGCAGTTTAAAAAAAAAAAGGACATCTGGAGAAGATGGAAATGGAGATCTCAGAAGGAACTACACAACAGCCACAACAGATGCAACGGGAATTGGAAAAAGATATACTGAACTAGGCGCTACAGGTTTGGACTTTCCTAAATTTTTATGTTTAACATGGAAAATAAATGGAGCAAATGTTCCTAAAAAAGAAAAAAAATATTTCATTATTTGAAAAAATTAAAGCAAGACATTATTTGCCTACAAGAGACTCATATCAGGAAAAAAGATATAAAATATTTGTCCTATAAATCTTTGGGTTGAAGAATTTATTTCAGCAGATATTAACAAGACAAATGGAGTTGCTTTGTATATGAATCTTCAACTGAACCCAGAACTTGTATTAATTGACAAACGTGGCAGATTTGTTGGAGTAGAAATTCTATTATATGGAGTTAAAACAGTGGTCCTGGGAGTTTATGCCCCAAATGAAGATAAAGTGACTTTTTATAAACAACTTATGGAGAGATTAATGGACTTTTCTTATGAAAGTTGGTGTATGATGGGGGATGGGAATGGAGTAGTTTCCTCCCAACTGGACAGGACTTCTGAGAAAAATATTAAAATTACTTAGGGTAAACTACCAAAAGTTTTTTTTTTAATTTGATGAACAATTTAGTGTTGGTTGATGTATGGAGACAGAAGAAGTTCAATAGAGTATACTTATTTTTTCAGAAAGACACAGATCTTTTTCAAGAATAGATATGATTTGGATTTCAAGTGACTTGGCTACTAAAATTTCCAAAATATTTTCTCAGATCATAACCCTGTGAGTCTGATTTATAAAAGAAAATTGAGTTCTTTCAGATGGAGATTAAATGAAGCATTGTTACAAAAAGATGAAATTGTTGAGGATTGTAAAAAAGAAATTAAAAGATTTTTTGAAAATAATGTAAATAAAGATACTGATTTGAGAATGGTCTGGGATGCAAGTTATTAGAGGTTATCTAACAAAAAATATGAAGATACAAGATCAAACAGAATTGATGAATAGAACAGGTTTTAAGATTGAGAAGACGGTAAAATACTAGGCGATTATTATGACAAATATGAATTGTATGTTATTTCAGAATAACTATGTTAAGACATGGAATGAAGTTAAAAAAGATATGTCAAGATGGGACAAATTACAATTGTCATTTTTGGGTAGAATTTGTATGATTAAGATTAATGTTTTACCTAGAATGTTTTGACAACTGATGTACCATTTAAACAATGGCAGGATATATCTAAATCTGTATGGCAAGCAGAAAAAACACAAGTTAAATATAAGGTACTACAAGATGCGAAGGAAAGAGGAGGATTGGGCTTACCAGATTTGAAATTATATTTTGCTGCCTGCCGTTTAGTTTGGATGAAAAAGTGGGTGTTGTTAAGAAATAGAAGGTTACTGAACTTAGAAGGCCATGATCTGAGATTTGGGTGGCATGGATATCTATAGTATGACAAAGCTAAGTTGAATGTACATTTTAAAAATCATTATGTCAGGCAGGCTTCCTAGAGTATGGAATAAATATAAATTTAGGTTCTGCCCGAAAACACCTTTGTGACTCTCAGCACAAGCATTTTATAGACAAGAAATGATAAGTAAACATAAATGGTTAACTTACTGTGATGTACTAGAATTTTCTCAAGAGTATTGTAAAATAAAATCTACAGAAGATTTAACAATAGAAGGATATCCTTGTCAATGGTTTTCTTACGTACAATTGTTAGAAAGATTTAAAGTAGATAAAAGATTTTATGGTTTTGAACAATGTAAGACTGAATTTGAAACAGAATTATGTACTAATGATAAACATGTTATTGCTAAAACGCATAAACTTTTGTTGAAATTTGAGACAGAGGAAGAACAAGTGAAAGAATGTATGATAAAATGGGCCAAAAACTTTGGTTATAATATACATATGGAACAATGGGAAAATATATGGCTGAAAGGACTGAAATTTACATTATGTTCTAGACTTAAAGATAACTTTTATAAACTGATGTATCGTTGGTATTTGTTACCAGAGAAATTGTCTAGAATGTATAAAGGTACTTTGAATCTTTGCTGGAAATGTGAACAACATGAAGGGACATTTTATCATGTTTGGTGGACGTGTAAAAAAGCCAAAAATATTTGGACACAAATACATACATTAATTCAAAAGATTTTAAAAATTAAAGTACAATTAAATCCAGAGACTTTCCTTTTGGGACTAATGGACAGGCAGCTAGAAAAAAAGTCATGGAACTTTGTTTCTATATACAACTGCAGTGAGATTGTTATATGCTCAAAAATGGAAATATCTGGCAATACCTACAATGGGAATGGTTGGTGAAGATGATGGAATTTGCGGAGATGGCTAAATTAATTTCTTTGATAAGAGAAAAAACAATATCTACATTTACAGTTGACTGGAAATGCCTTATAGACTTTTCGCATGAAATGGAAAAAAATGCACTTATGACTTGTGATTGTGATTATTAGAAAAAAATTGGATAATAGAAAAAAGTGAGCTTTTTTTATAATCATACAGTAAGAGATAATTTTATAATTGTACTTATACCTGCTGCAAAGGAAATCAAAAGCTTTTTTCTCTTTCTGCACTCTTTCTTTTCTTTCTTTATACTATTAGTTTATGTTAGCTTTTGTT